CAAAAGATTCTTTGCGAGACTGGTGGTCCGCGCTAGGAAACCCATTCATACACATTATTTAACAATTATTGTAAGTACTACAAAGATGGAACTAAAAAAAAAATCTCTTATAAAATTCATTTTGTTTTTTTCTTTTTGATGAATGAGTAAAATTCATTGCATATGTACTGATGATGGACAAAGTCCATATTTCCAATTATACCCACTCCAGAAAAATATTATGAATCTGGACGTACTTATGCAACCAATTAGTTGGTAGGCACCCTTTTACCTCTCGACAAAAAAAGTATCCAAGACCCTCTACTTATTGAATGAGACAAAACTAAATAATTGATCGAGTCCATAATCTTTTATCAAATTGTAATATTCTCTCGTTTATCTTCAATTTGTATGGCAGGGAGGGGAACATACGATTAATTATTTAATAATTCGAGATTAGCTTTTAAAAAGTTGTAAATGACAAAATCAAAGGCAACCTACATTAGTTATTATTATTATTATTATTATTTATTTCCCCTACACAGAAATAAGTAGATACAGAGAATGTAGAAGCAAATACAAAAGAAAGAATTATTTATATGAGAAATTGGTTTGGTTGCTCTTTTGGCTCAATAAAACAAACATAATATACAAAAAAAAAAAAAAAACAGATTAGCTGCTGCTGCTAACAACACTTGATTAATAATCTACAAACTCATGAATTGTAAAACCCAACTTTCAACATTGTACAACCAAACTCAAGAAGCCGATTCGAGAGCGCAGTTTCTTGAGATCAAATACGAGAAAACAAAGCCACAACTCATTGAGATAGATCGTAAACCAACTTTCCAACATAGTAACAACTAAAATAAAAGCCAAGCCAATTAGAAGAGCAAACAAAAACCAACAACTCACAACTATTCTTCTTGGTTACCACCACCACCACCAACCCTAGGGGGCCCACCCACCCTTCCACGTCCTCTCCCATAGCCGTACCCAAAGCCTCTGCCACCACCACCTCTGCCTCTTCCGTATCCATCACCTGTAAATTAATTGACATTCTCATTATTATTGGTACTATTATTTTGGACAAAAAAGGAAAATCTATGATTCAAAGGTTTTTGCATATTCCTGCAATTTTATAAACTTCCCTTAAAACATAAGCCAATGATGTGATCACAAGCTTTTGAGTGTATTCCAGTATATTAAGTTAAAACAAGATAAAGATACAAAATTCACATTCACAAATAAAAGGGATTCAAGGATATGTGACAAAGTTGTTAGGCTTCAAGTTTTAAGGATAAAGAGAACACTTACCACGATAACCCCAACCTCCACGCCCACCACCTCGGTTTTGATATCCACCACTGTTGCCACCAGAATATTCACCTGCATAACCATCGGAATAACCACCTTGATTGCCACCGTAATATCCACCTTGATTGCCACCGTAATATCCACCTTGATTGCCACCGTAATATCCACCTCGATTGCCACTTGAATATCCACCTCGATTGCCACCGGAATACACACCTCGATTGCCGCCGGAATACCCACCTAGATTGCCGCCGGAATACCCACCTTGATTGCCGCTGGAATACCCACCTTGATTGCCGCCAGAATATCCACCTTGATTGCCACCGGAATATCCACCTCGATTGCCACCGGAATACCCACCTCGATTGCCACCGGAATACCCACCTCGATCTCCGGAATACCCACCTTGATAGCCACCGGAATACCCACCTTGATAGCCACCATTATCTGTGAAAAGAATCACACTATGAAGAAAGAAAATCGTCGATCATACATATTGAATGCATAAATTATAACCTAGTGCCCAGCTTCACAAGGCATCACAGTTGGTAATGAAAAGTACCTTGGTAATTTGCATATCCACCCCTGTTCCAACCTCGCCCCCTCCCCCTGCCACGACCTCTTCCTCGTCCATACGTATCTAAAACTCGAAACAGAACTCAATCAATATCTGGCCTTGTAAATAGTTACGACAATCAATTGACAATTTCAAGTTTCAGTTTTTTTTACCTCCATTGTCATTATTATTGTAAACCATACGTGCTTGTCTAGGAGGTTGCTGTTGCTGGTAGTTATAGTTCTGTTGTTGCTGAGGCTGATAGTTATATTGCTGTTTATTTTGCTCTGCATTAGAAGGAGCTTGATACCTGAATCGAGCAACATGGCAATAGAGCAAACTCGAGTGAGTCAAACTCAGAAGGCAAAAAAGAAAGCCACCAAGAAGAAGAAATCCATGGTATAATGCTTTCGTAATTAGAAAAACTTAAGCCCCATGGCGTTAAAAATTAGAAGTGTCAGCAATAGTTATAAATCAGAACGAACGGTTATTGCACTGTAATATACATATTCATTTCCCGATAAAAGGACATTTAAGCAGAAAAATTACCCAGGAGAATTCTTGTTAAGCTCATTAGTCGAAAGGGTAATTGAAATCATTGAGACATGACGAGTCTGCTCCACACTGCACTAGACATAAAAATAGATATAAGTACACATGCAAAATGCCGGTGGAGTACAGTGAACAAATAGATATAGACTTTAAACTTACGTCTGAAGGCCCTCTTCAATGGGTTCAAAAGTATCGGTTATGCTTACTGAACTGATGTCAGTCTCCTGATGCAGTCGAGGAATTCTTCTCTATTTCAACAGAAAAAAGTACTGAATCCTTTGTATTGCATGAAAGGCAAATGAAAGGCAAAAGTATAAAATATTTTTTTATAGCAACCTTTATGATCTCTGCAATTGCCACACTCTTGTTTATCGCCTGCCCCATTGCTTTTAAGACAATTTCTCCTACTTGTCGCTCCTGAGGAAGAGATGAGTAATATACAGCAAGCCAATCAGCTGACATAAAAGAAAACACGAAATATGCACTATGGATTGACAATGATTCACAACCGAAAATGGCTTCTTAAATAAACATATCCCAACATGATAATCATATAAACAATCTAGTTCGTACTTCCTTTCCCGGCTTTTTGGTAGATTAGTAACAAAATAAAGGCAGTGTGTGAAGTAAAAACTCAAGAGAAGGAAAGCTCCATCCACATAAGCACATTTCATAACAGGGCCAATCTCCTCAAGTACTCTACCAGAAAATTTAGGGCTGACTATACAATGGCATTAGTACACTCTCTAGATGTTCTTACTCTCTTTATTCAAAATCTGCCTTATCGTGTAATGTAAAACAATTTAACTCAATTTAAATGTCCGCATATGTTTATACAAGTCATGCACCCAAGCAAAAAATTTCGAAAGGAAAATAATTACTAATACATGCTAAACACCTGATGACAACAAAAAATGCAGATAAAGGTCGAATAATAAATAGCTGATCGACTTAGAATACAAAAGAAAAACGGACATAGCCACAATACAAATGTGGGGAAGATACTCTATACACAGCAAAACCCAAAAAAAAAAAGAAAAAAAGAACCACATCAATGATAACTGGTCCTCGTATAACAAACATTTTTACAGATTGATGAATGCAGATTAAATAAGAGTTCGTATAGAAATTACAGATGATATTATTCATTGATTGTTACCACACATGTAAACAGGACTTCATAACATAACCAACAAGTAATTTTCAAAACAAATGCCACTGTTGTTGAAAAATGTCTAACATACCAAAATGTAAGAAAACATGTGATACATTTCTGCATGTTAAACAAATCTTGCGGCCTCAAACGGAAAAAAAAAATATAACATTCCAATTAAAAAATTAATGACTTCAATTAAGATTCATGTTATATTTCTAAAACACTCAATGCGAAACAAATATAGACTAGTAAAACGATCAAACCTTCATCAGCAAACATAAATTTAAATTTTTTTTTTTTTACATATAGAACAATGTTAATGAGAATGTCAAATGCGCAGAAGGAAAACAAAAATCAAAAAAATAAATGAGTGTACCTGAAGGAGGGTGGTGGCATAGCTGATGTAGTTACGAACCAGGCCCTGAGAAGTGATACGGATCTCATTTTCATTCACCGGAGACTCAGGTTTCGGCTTCTCCACCTTTTGGTATCTATCCATTTTTTCCTCAAGCGGAAATGGAAAACCCTAGCAAAACCCTAGAGAGAGAAAGGGAGGAGGTTAGACTTTAGAGAGAGAGGAATGTTGAGAAATGTTTTAAGTATTTAGCGTGTGTGTGTGTGTGTGTGTGTGTGTGTGTGTGTGTGTGTGTAATATAACCACAGAGGTGAGGGGAAATCAGAAACTTCAGTGAGGGGTCGGGTTGGGATATCTCCCTCTTATTTTGGGATTTATGGGCTTTTTGGCCCGATTTCAACGGGCCCATAGTGGAACGTGAGAATCTTTTAGCGCGCGTGCAACCCACTCTGCTGCTAAATCTGTCTGGGTTTTGGTTCTGGGCTTCGGCAAGTGTTTTGAAAGTTTATTATGGGCTTGAAACTATTATTTTAAGGCCATGAGGTATGATCAAATTACAAAAAAATCCTTATTGTTTGGATAATTACAGTCACCTTCTCCTTTTAAATAGTTTTTCATAACATTTATGTAATTCGGTTATTTATCGAACCAAATCGTATATTCAGTTCGGTAAACGGTATGAAATGTTGGCGTATCGAAACTTCGGTTAGGTTTTACCGATTTAACATTCCTAAATTTACCTTTTGAGGGGTATTTTCGTAAGATTATACATAGTTGAGGCGGTGATTGTAATTACCCAAATAAAAGGGAAGTTTCGTAATTTGACCATAACTCAGGAGATGGCCGTAATTCGCCATTATTTTAATCGTTAATGGGTGTAAAATTCCTATGAGTGGATATGTTATTTATTATATTTGTATTACATTAAATTGCTTCATTTTGTATGTATAAACTCTAAAGTTTGTGGTTTATATGTGGTAATACAGTAGGATTGCCGCATGGGTATAGCTTAACTGGTTCCGAAGGTGGTAAGTTGGTACAAGGTTCTAATATCGAATTCTGAAAGAATCTCGATAAATTAATAAAATCACTTAAATAATAATTTCTTTTAATCTCGAGTTGATAAAAATATACTAAATTATTAATTCGATAATTTATTTGTTTGCTAAATTAATAGAATTTTGTTTGTACCTATTTTCATGGGGAATATTTTGACATTTTTATTGGGATCGCGAAAGAGTGCGAATATTTGGGCTTCGTCTTCATTATTGGGGCCGAAATTCAATTTGAAAGTGTGAAGTATTGTATTAGCAACTTTTGAAGTGTTACTAATTGTGTTATCAACTTCCAAAGTGTTTTGAGTAAAAAAAAAACTTCCAAAGTGTTTTTAGTTGTGTTATCGATATAGCTAGAGGTGCAAATCGGACATAAAAAAATGCAATTCTTTTGGGAATTGAAAAAATAATTCTAATATTGCTTCAAAATGAAAATTACGAAAAAGTTTGTTTCATTTTTGAAATTTTCGGATCGTGGCGAAATTTTGAAAGTTCTATTTTTAGTCACTTAAAATATAAAATATGTAATAATGTTGAGATTATAAGTGCAATTTCGGAACTCATTGGAGATTGGAATTTAATATGGATTCCAATTCCATTCCAAAAGAAGTTAGAATAATTGAATATTAGAACTTTCGAAATTCAAAATGAAAAACACTGTTTCAAAATTGAAATTATGTGGATCAATATCAGCTAAATTTTACTGAAAGAAATTAGAGATTTCCCATATTTATGTACCATAATATATGGATATTTATTAAAAGAAAATAATATATATGTAAGTTGTAACAACTAAAATATAATACGGCAGGAAGGGACTACCTAGCATAAATTAATGGGTAAAATTCAATTTGCCCTCTTTACTATGTGAAATGTATCATTTTACCCTCTGATGTATTGAAAATATCAAACACCCCCTACTCTTAACGATCAAAGGTCAACTTTTAACGGTGTGAGATTGTAATGACTCTTTTACCTTGCTTTATGTCTGATATAATCCATAATTTTTTAGGAGTATTTTTTGTGGATTGTTGCCGATTTTTAGCATTCGTTCAAATTATGGTTTTGTGTCGATTTTAGTATTTGATTTAGGGATTTTCATTTTTCTTTTTTGGGGGATTTTCATTTTTCTTTTTGGGGGGATTTTCCCATTATAATACGAAAAGCTTTGTTTTTAATTTGAAATTCTTTCATATGGTTTTATTCCAATTTTAGGGTTCCTTTTAGATTTAAGGATTTTTAGTTTTCTTTTTTGTGGCTTTACATTCATAATCTGCGAAACTTCATTCTTATTTATTCGACTTTTCAGTTTTTTTATAAGAAAAATAGCTGAAAATATAAAAAAGAAATGACTGAATAAAGTGAAAAAATGGTTGAAAAAGTGAAAAAAAATGGTGAACATTTGTCAAAACTAAGCAACATATACATAATATTTTTTGGGGTACTTTTATAAAAAAAAGCCAACATTTCTTTGCAATAGTCGGTCAAAGGGTTTGACTAACGGAAATTAGAAAAAATGCTAACAACAGGGGGTGTTTGATATTTTCTATACTTAAACGGTAAATAATATATTTCGCATAGTATCGGGTGCAAAATGAATTTTACCCTAAATTATTTTACCAAAATTAAATTGATTCTTTTTAATAGGAGAATAATTGAAGAAAGAGAATGAAATGCTTGTTTCTACCACAATTTTATGTCCCATTTTATATAGCGCCTTTAATTACTACTAATTTTAACATTATATATTTATATTATACATAAAGTATGTTGAAATGATGATTTGGTAATTATAGTAATTTAGTTAAATAAACTAGTACTCAAGTATGCATCCAAGTTGGATGAATATAAAATTATATAATTGCAAGTACTTGATTGAAATTATCTCCTCTTATTAATGGGAATTATTATTAAAAAAAACAAATTTCTATATCTAATTTTGCATTAAAATGTAGGATAGATTACGATCAGCCCCTGAAATAAGATCAAATTATGAAAAACATTTCATGTTTGGGTAATTATAACTACCATCAACTATGTATTTTCTTACGAATAAAGCCGTCGTGTAATAGATAAATTTGATATTGTAAGAGTGAACGAGTCAAACAACACATAATTTGGCCTTACCTCAGAGAGAGTATTGTAATTCGGCCTTACCTCAGGGGAGTTATTATTATCAAAATAGGAAGGGTAGTGTTGTAATTTAACCTTACCTCAGGGGATTTACTGTAATTTGCCATAAATTGTAGTTGGTGCACTTGTTTGTTTCCACCTAATAATAGAGGAAATAACGAGTGGCCCTGTATTTTTCTCACTTCTATAATCCCTCCAATAAATACAAAACAAAATTAAGATTTGATGACTAGTATTTAAATTAACATGTGAGTGCCATTAAATTAAGTTTTGCTTTCCACCACCCTTCCAAATTTTTGTCGAGATTAGTTATATGCCTTGACCATTATAAGATGATATTAATGTCACAGTATAACAAAATATCATGTTAAATTTATTATCAAGGAGAATTCCAACTATATATAATTAAAAAAAAATGTGACATTTATTTCACCGAGTGATTATTAATCGTTGATATACACATTACCATACGCGCTCATGTACATATGTACGTCGTGGGTGGTTGTTTAACCACATTAATAGCTAAAAATCACCCGGTATATATGACCCGCCTGTTATGTAGCAGGAAAACTCCTACTTCTTAGTGTTTCCGCATTTCGCACACGTTTTGTGGCTGACACTGAGAACACTTGCCGGACACGTTATGAGTCATTTTGCAATTTCTAAAAAGTTTTGAATAGTAAATTTTCAAATATTTTTGCTGCTTTCCTAATTATTTATAGGTTTTAATGATCAATTGCAAATTGATAATTGATAGTAAAATTTATTTCTAATATGTTTGTATAAAACATATAAAAATAATTTGTATATAAATAAAAATTTATGTCACATATTTATAAATGCACCCTTATATTTATAATATTACATATTTACCCCAAGTTCCTGTAATCCCATTTTTGAGATACGCCATTTTCCCGTATCTCAATTTCCGTGTCCGTGCTACGTTCATGTAAATAACCTCTAAGTTGCACGTGGGAAACGGTTCACCGTCCATGTATAAGTCATGTTGACCGTCAGACACAACAGTCAACGCATCTCGTAAAAATTGGATTGAAGAACACTTTCTTCTCTTTTATATAGTGACACTGCACATCCAAATTTCTCAAGTGGAATAATATCAACAAAGAGAAATATAACTGAAAACAGTGTGTGTGTTTGTGTGTCTTAGAGAGAGAAAGAAGAGAGAGAGAGGAATGGAGAAAGCTGCGAACAGACAGAAGATCCTGCTGGACCATTTGCGACCTACTTCTTCCGTTCCTCACCTAATTTCTCAACCTTCTCTTTCTGTGAGCTTTTTTTTTCCCAATTTTAACTTTTTTTTTGGCTTTCAATTGATGTATTCTTCTCTACTCGCCCCTCCGATTCCATTGAATTCAAATTCAGTACTCATATTCATGTTTTTTTTTTTGATCAAACTCCAATTTTATCTCGCTTAAATTGTAGTGTTAGAAAAACTTTTGATTAGAATCATGATCTGTGCCTGTATATGTTTTTTTTTTTAACAGAATTGGTCGAATTTATTGGTCCCACTGGGTGATTTGGTTGGGGTTATTGGGAAATTTTGTTCCAGAAGCATTTTGTCTTCTCCAAACTAATGATCTGCTGATTGTATTTAAACTTGCACAATTATCGGTTTGAGTTTTATCCGATCGGCTAAACCTTGTTTGGACTAGATTTTTCACAAGTTTACTTTATGTCAACTAGTTTCTGTAACTCAATTTGGTTCAGAGACATGCTAAAGTTTAGAATCACGGCAAAATATCACCTCTCGTTTTTTTGAACTTTGATTCGACTCTTACGATGTTGCCTTTCGTTTGTTTTGTCTTTGTTATAAATGCTTACGGGACGAGGCTCTTGTAATAAGTGATAATGCAGTTGTGCTGTAATATTGGGGAAAAAACCTTTTGAGTATGTGAACTTTTGTTTTGCTAAAACTATCAAGTGAAATTTTTATATGCATGTTCAAGAGAGGTGTTGAAATGACCTAACACCATCCAAATTATACGGAGATTTTCAGCTGCGATCCTTTGTAATTGTCGTTCATGACCATGTACAATTTTCATTGACAGCGTGCAGTATGTTTGGCTGGGGATAGTGCTGCATATCATAGAACACCTGCTTTTGGAGACGACATTGTCATTGTGGCGTGAGTTGCTTCACATTTTAGAAATTCAGCTACCCGTTTTTGTTTATTTTAAATTGCCAACCAACGGCTAAATGCTAATATGAATTTCTTTTTGTGTCCTGAAGAGCTTATCGAACGGCCCTTTGCAAATCAACACGAGGCGGATTCAAGGATACCCTTCCCGATGATTTACTTGCCGCTGTACTGAAGGTGAGTCTGTGTATAGATGTTGGTGAACCTATTTTAGACATTTTCTCACATGCTACTCATGATTTTGTCACCTAATTTTGCGCCTGTTTTTTTCTAAAATTAGTTATATATATGTCTCTTTGGTCATTTTCTTTGCGTAAATCTTTTAGCTATCTTCGTATGCTCTCATGATTGTGCAGGCATTGATCGATAGAACAAATCTAAATCCTGCGGAGGTAGGAGATATAGTTGTCGGCACTGTTTTGGCTCCAGGTTCGCTGAGAGCTATTGAGTGCAGGATGGCAGCATTGTATGCCGGTTTTCCTGGTATATTTACCAAAAAATGCCTATTTCGACCCGTTTTCACGTTTGGCAAATTTACACGTTCTGGTTTCTCTATTTTGTTCCTCACTGAATCTAGTTCATCATTTCTCCAGATAAAGTACCTATCAGAACAGTCAACAGACAATGCTCATCTGGTCTCCAAGCTGTTGCCGATGTTGCTGCCTTTATAAAAGCTGGATATTATGATATAGGTATTAATGAATTGAATTAAAAGTTTGGAGAAGACACATTTGCATTTTGCAACTAATAATCCCTCAATCATCATTTTTTTACATACAGGCATTGCTGCTGGATTGGAGTCCATGACAGCAGATTTTGCGACCAGTGCGAACACAATTGAGAAAATTAACCCTAAAGTACACGAAAATTCTCAACTTACCCTTTTTGTCTTCTTACAGCAATAATCATGCGAATACTGACAATGTCAAATCCTATGTACGGTGTTGGTTACAGGTTGAGGCTTTCCCTCAAGCTCGTGACTGTCTTCTTCCAATGGGTGCTACTTCTGAGAATGTTGCGGAGCGTTATGGGGTGACGCGAGAAGAGCAAGATCAAGCTGCTGTGAGTTTTTCCTCATTCTTGTTTGCATGTCAATTATATATATATATATATATATATATATATATATATATATATATATATATATATATATATATATATATATGTATATAATGGATGGAGGGAAAAATTATATGCCCACTTGGAATTTTGCATGAATAGGTTGTTTCTCATCAACGTGCTGCTGCTGCAAGGGCAGCAGGAAAATTTAAAGACGAAATCATTCCGGTTCATACAAAGGTACATAACCTGGAATATATTAATCATTTATGTAAGAACAGATATAATCTTTCTATGAATTTCTAAATCATTTTGCTTTGAAGATTGTGGACCCTAAAACCGGTGAGGCAAAGCCTGTTGTGATCTCAGTAGATGAAGGAATTCGGCCGAGCACAAATATGATAGATCTGGCAAAGTTGAAGCCTGCATTCAAGAATAATGGAACCACAACTGCTGGTAAAAGAGTTACTATGTCTTGAAAACTTGGTGAATGAATAAGTTTCGATGTTTCTTGTGTGGATTATTATTAAAATTGCTGACTTTATTTCTCAGGGAATGCGAGCCAGATTAGCGATGGTGCTGGAGCTGTTCTGCTCATGAAACGAAGTTTAGCTATCCAAAAGGGGCTCCCAATTCTCGGCATATTCAGGTGAAAGTGTCTTTAAGAAGTATATTTTTCTGGATACTGAGATATTTTATTCTAGTTTAATGCATGGATCATGATTTTTCAGTTTGCACCCAGATTAGTTATTAATTCACTGAAAGAACTCGATAAATGACTATAATTACAATAAAATAGGTAAATCTAATTGATGTTGGATGTTATATATTGAAAGCAAGTCGCGGTACAATGAATAGTCAATTTTCCTACCACAGTAGTACATAAATAATTCAGAAGAAAAAGGATATCGAGCTTGACTTAGTTTTTTCAAGATTTCCATGTGTTAAAATTATTATTATTATCCTAAAAGATACATTGTGCATCACGATACAGGAGTTTTGCAGCTGTGGGTGTGGATCCTGGTGTTATGGGTATTGGCCCAGCCGTTGCTATTCCAGCTGCAGTTAATTCAGCTGGTCTCGAAATTGCTGACATTGACTTGTTTGAGATAAACGAGGTACTTGGTTGACTAAGTAAGACCATTTTGGAAGTTAAATTTGTCTGAACCAAATTTGAAAGAATAAAAACAAGTCTACCTTAATATTATTTGCAGGCATTTGCTTCCCAGTTTGTATATTGCTGCAAGAAATTGGATCTTGATCCCGAAAAGGTTAATGTAAATGGAGGAGCAATGGCCCTTGGGCATCCTTTAGGAGCCACAGGTGATATAAAATCTCTAATGTTTGATTTATTCTGATATTACACCGAATGGAAGTGTATTTGCCAGTAGTTAAATACGCTTAATAAAAAAAAAAACCGTAATATATTTAGATTCTTATTTCTACTTCAGGGGCTCGTTGTGTCGCCACACTACTTAATGAGATGAAGCGACGTGGAAAAGACTGCCGCTTTGGTGTAATATCTATGTGCATAGGTACTCACTTGCTCTATAAAAAGCGTAATATATTTTTCTTGATTCAATCAGAATGTAGGCCTCCATTTGAAATTGATGGATTTGAAACTAAGGACTTCAAATCCCTAATAACTAATCTATTGAATTTCTTCGGGTGAATTTATTCTACGGTTAATTTAAAATCCGTACCTCTTATTTTTGAACTATTTTTTGAGTCCTTGGCAGTTATGGAATCATTTGAAACCATTTCCTCTAATTCTTGCCAAAATCCAATTCCTTTAGTTAAAATGGAAGCTAACATAGTTTCACATGTTGAAAATATTGCTATAAAATATTGGTTGTTCCGTTTTGCAGGTTCAGGCATGGGTGCTGCTGCCGTTCTTGAAAGAGGGGATTGTGTAGACGAACTCTCCAATGCACAAGCAATTAGCGCACAAAATTTCTTGTCCAAAGATGCTATATAGAAACCGTTTATTGCCCGGCGAATTATATTTTTATGCAATGAGATTTGGTGTCAGAATAAGACATGAAAAAAATAAAGATGTGTGTTTGGTGTCCAAAATTCGTAATCGTAGTCTTTCGACGAATTATATTTTTATGCAATGAGATTTGGTGTCAGAATAAGCATAAAAAAAATAAAGATGTGTGTTTGGTGTCCAAAATTCGTAATCGTAGTCTTTCGACGAATTATATTTTTATGCAATGAGATTTGGTGTCAGAATAAGCATAAAAAAAATAAAGATGTGTGTTTGGTGTCCAAAATTCGTAATCGTAGTCTTTCGTTGCGAGTCGTTTGTTGCATCTCCTATGGAGTGGCAAATAATTCAAACAAACTAAAGTTTCATTTGGATTGAAGGATTTGATCGAAAGACTTCAATTCCGTATTCGTGAAACTTGTTGAAATAAATCTACTCATTGTAAATAATAAATTGCAAGTTCGTTGCTAACATTTAAAAAGAAAAATTATTCAAGGCGAAAGAGAGATTTTCGAGCCTGCAAAATAGCAAGCAACGACGTAGTTTTCAACATGAACCAAAGAACAAAAGATCATGAATAAAAATAGATACGAATAGTTTTCGAAACTTGAAATAAGATAATTGACACAAAAGAAAATTCAAAGATGAAATGAGATAACATATCCATGTCAAACTATATACAAATAAGAGAAAAGATTACAGTTGAACAAATTTCAAGAGCTAAGAACAGGGAAACATAAACAGGCCTTAATTATTCTATTCCCTTTCCATAAAAGGAAATCGCACCTGCAACGAATTTTAGAATAATACATGCACGAAACGATTGTCACTATACCCATTAATCAACTTCCTGCCCAATACCAAAGTTTCCTTCATCACGAATCTGAAAAACATATGAAACGTATTAAGCCAAAATCTAGCAAAACAGGTCCTCCCAAAAAAAATAAAAAATACCTGATTCTTCCGGAAGCTTCCTATTGTCGATTCTCATCCGACCTAGCACGTGTTAGCCTCCGACGCCTTCTCGGATTAGGAGGAGCATCGTCATTTTCACCACCAATACCATTTTCTATATTCACGTATTGTTCTTCATCTTCACTCCCATCATCTTCATCACCATTTTCTTGAAGGCCCAATAGATTCTCACCCCACAAATACCGCCGCCTCGAGAAGCTTCCGGAAGCACGGCGATGCCTCGACAGCACCCTTGACCGCCCGCCCCTCAGCTCGGTCCCACGGTCCATCGAACCCATCATCTGAAACAACAACAACGTGCTCAGCCACCGCCCGCCGCCTTCACCGCCACCACCACCACCACCACCACCACCACCTTCAATCATATAGTCTCCGACGACCACCGCACCAGGCACCGCCGAGTGAATCGCACTGACGACATCATTGTACTCGCTCCGGTCTTCGAGTCGGTGCCACGCCCTCTGTCTCGACGGGTCGATATCCGAAGGGCAACTGTCGGATGAACTCTTCTTGCGTGCCTTCGCAGCTCCTTGTAGTTACCGAGGAAGGAGCAAGATTCGTGTGAGCAGCTTCTTGATTTCTGGTTCAGGTACTTTCTAGAATCTTCTAGAACCTTCCAGCCCAGAACACCCCCACGGCATAATGGACACCTCAGATTCGACACGTCGTCTGGCTTCTCCATATCGATTACCCCATGATCAAGACTCGCATCATCACTCGAAGAAGTGATGACGGGCTTCTCTTCTTTGAGCTTTCTAAGTCTGTCCAAGCAATTTGAGTGCCTGTAGCTAGTGTTGCATATGTAGGAGCGACAGCCCTTGTTGTGGGAAGTGCAAATGAGAAGAACAGCATTGTGTGGGTGATCCATACATATGGGGCACGAAGCTTCGTCCCATTCCTTGTACAGAGCAGACAAATCTGCACCGTTTGATAGGCTTCTTTTCCTACTAGCCATCTATTTCCACTGAGATATGTTACTAATATTGAATGTGTAAACATACCGATTTTAATACACACCAGTGCAAGCAAACGGCATTCACATTTCATAAAAGAAAACGAGGGCTAAGGCAACAACCCAAGAAAATCTTTTTACGGTACATGGAAGGTTTATCAACCAAAGAAAATTTGTCCTGATGGCCAGATGTATGTGTGTGTGTGTGTGTGTTTTTCTTTTTTCGAGATTTTTTTTTTTTTTTTTTTTTTTTTTTTGCAAACACCACCTTACAAGAACAATAAACACCAACTTTAACTAGCTAGTGTAATCTTAGGAGCAAAGCCCACTTACCCGATACAAGTGTAAGCTAGTAACATCTATGAGTTGAGAAAAATATGTTACCTAATCACCGATATTCAGTAGTGCTCAGTATCATTCGTGCTCTCCACGAGTACTAAAAAGGTACTCATAGAAGTTAACCTTCTTATCAGCAAAAGGGGGTAAAAACACGCAATTACTTACCAAAACTTGAGCACCAAACAATCAGGTAAATATATATGAAAGAGACAAGGATGGAGGATTCTTCACACACTCCACAACCCACCCACGGGCCCAACAAACCAAAACAAGAAACAAGCAAAAACAAAAACAGTGTCTACATTGTAAAACAGATAAAAGAAATTCAAAGGAGTTCGACACGATGCTGAATGTAACTCAATCCTATGAAATTAACATGAAACAAATAACAAAGATTTTAATCACCAATGCAAAGACATTTCTGCACACACGATGATACTACTAGCCATTCAATTTTACTCACCGCTGGAAAGGTATTGTGATTTTCTCTTTTACTGGCAGCTTCAGATCTTTAAAACACGGGATCTGAATCTTATAACTTTCTGATTTAGCAAATGATATAACATAACATCTTTACTTTGACTCTATAGCAATATCAGAATGGCAAGCCTTCACGAGCATTTCATAACTACAATTTTTGCACAGCTAAAATTCTCGGAGTAATTAGGCTTCAAATAAAGTATTATTGATTTATATCTCGAGCCACAATCACCAATCGATTCCCACAACCTGCAGCAGTATTGTGGAACAGAGAGTGGTCATTTGCATAACATTCGGCTCCGTTAATCATCAAACAGCATATATGGGAAAAAAGAATATACATAAACCCATAAGCACAACATAAAAATTATTTAAATGTTCAAAGAATAAGTTTTTATTATATCACCATTTAATTATAATTCACAAAATATTACGATCGCAGGCGTTTTGCACCAATTTAAAGAGTTTATTCATCAATTCAAAACATCACCCTTCTAAAAATCAAATAACCCATGAGGTATACTTCAGCAATAAAATATCCCTAATATCCAGAAAGTTCCTCCCTTTATCTGCATACATCGATCAATAAACTGAAATACGCATATCGACATGTATATAATAACTAGGGTTTGCAAGGATCGGCAACAATTCGAACCAACAATCATCAAATTGAGGTAAAATTAATAAACAATTAAAAATAAATAAATAAATAAAAAGGCCCCCTCCCCCTGGAAACAAATCAAGAAATTGAAGGTGCGGAATTACAATTCGAGGTAATAGAGATCGCCGAGCGTTTATCCTTTGATTGATTAAATTGTGGAGGAGTTTAATTTTTATTCAAAGCGGAGAAATATTTGTTAGGTCGATTGGGGGTAGGGTTGAAAATGGGGAAAAAGGTAGCGTGTGAGTCTCTTTTCATGTACTACTGTCTAAATACAGATCGAGATATAAGAGAATTCCGGGAATTATCTATGTATACTCTGTGTGTATATATATATATATATATATATATATATATATATATATATATATATATATATATATATATATATATATATATATATATTATGAATATGTATATGAAAAGGTCAAAAAGGGTATTAAAGCAAAATATCGAATAACCATTACAAGATGAGGGGGTGAAAAGGAAAAAGAAAGAATCTTTTTAAGCAATAAAGATGAGATAAAAAAGAGAGAGAATCAAACTATTATAGGGTAAAATGTGGTCAGCCGATCAAGTTACAAAAAAATTTCCTATGTTTGTGTAATTACAATCACCTTTTAATTATGAATTTTCTTAAACATTCATTGTTATGAACTTATGGTGTCCAAATTTAACAGAATCTTCTAAATTTCTTGGAATGTTCTCTAATTTGTTCTCGTTTTGTGTAAAAAGACAGTTTATGATGCACCACAATCTGAAATTCACAAGTGAAGAGATACATCTTATGATCATCTTGTTTTCAGAATGTGGAGCTGGAATAGGGTAAAATGAGTACAAAATGGAGAATATTCCACATAATTTAGAAGATTCTACTAAATTTGACATTGCAATGATAAACATGTAAGAAGATTCATAGTGTAAGTGATAGTTGTAATTACCCAAATATGAGGAGTTTTATTATAATTTGGTATTTACCTCAAAAGTGGCTGTAACTTACCCGTTATTATAATGACACATCATACAACAAATAAATGGATGGTTTGTTTTATACTACATTAAATGCATTTTATCAATTTACATTGTACCATATACATGTAAATATTCATGTATATTCTAATAATGAATGCGCTAAACGTCGAACATGAATTGGCCGATTCTAAAATAATTAAGAGAAGTTATCTCTCTAGTCTCATCCTATCTACCTTGTTTCTGCACTAAACGAAAGTCACTCAAAATCGGTTTGTAATGAATTAATAATTACACACACAAAAACGAGTTTTAATTGTTTAACTTCAGAGAGGGGTTGATAAAACGGATAATGGAAATCGCTGAAAGTAACTACTACTTAGAAGATATGTCACTTGTGATCGGTATGCGAAAAAAAATTTGTGAAGGCAAAAGGTACTAGAATTATCGGTAAAAAAACATCCCATTGTGCTTCCAAGCTAAGGGGAAGCATGCAATATAGGCATTGAATTTGGTCCACTACTTAATTATGATATGAGTTTATGATGTGCAAAAATAGACGATTGTGAGTAAGAGCATGATAAAGTTCACTAAAAAAACTACTCCATTCATTTCTTTTTAGTGTCTCTTTAGAAATAAAAAATAAAAAATTGTTCATATTAAGTGTCACTTTACAGTTTCAATGTATCTTCATCTTTTTTTTTAATAATTAAAAATAATAGTTTAAGAAAAACAAAAAGAAGAAACTCAACGAGCTTGAGCACGACAAAATGAACTCGGACTCGTGCCAAAACAAGTGAATTCGGCTCGTTGACAACTTCACATCCGTAATAGCATGCTAAAAGCGAAATTAATTAATGTTTTACTACAGTTTTCCACGCGCTTGTCATCGCGTTGAATCACCGAACACCCACAGACATGAATTTGACTGAGAACCGTTTCTTCCTTCCCACTAGTTTGAACGTGGGTCCTTCTTCCTTTTTCTCCCCCTCTCTCTCTCTCTCTCTACCTGTAACCTGTACAATAATCCACTCCACACTTCCCCGTATGTGTATTCTATGCATTCATGAAACTCTAGATATTTCTTTCACTAACTATCTCTAGATCTGGATCATACGCGGACTCCGCCGGAGGCGGTGCCGCCGCCGATGCCGAAGGCCGACGAAGCCAGCTCTTCAACAAGTTCCGCAGAAGTTCCCGTCAAGTTCCAGGAAGATGCTGTGGAGGTTTCCACTGCTCCAGTAACCAGTAGCGCCGGGGCCCTTCCCCCGCTTGCAAATGGCGGCGGCGGTGGCAGCAATTCTGCTGGTGAGTCGGGGCATATCTTCTGAGAATTAAATCAACCAGTTGAATATTTTTTGAATTTGTTGTTCGGATAAGGAGTTGTGCTCATCAGTTTAATTTGAGTTGAAATTGGATGAATTTGTTGATTTTGCGTTTGATTGTCGTTGATCTCAGAAGGAAGTGCTAGGGCGATTTTTACAAGAGTAAATACTACGCCACTGGAAGCCATGAATTATGAGAAGGTAGAGCTGCCTTCGGTGTTGGAAAGATCGAAAACCGAGAGGCGAACGTACAATAATATTCTTTCTGAAGAGGCTGCGCAGATTTTTGATGAGCGAATTTCTGCACAGCAGAAGGTAGAGACCTTTTTTAGATTATTGCAATGCCATTTCAACATACGTGATGCATATGATTCTTCTGTTTTATTGATTCAATTTGTTACTAATTGATTAAAAATAGATTAAAATGTGCAGCTAAATTTGTTGAATTGAACACATGCTTGGGTTTTTGTTAAATATTTAAAACATTGCAGCTCAAATTGTTCAACAGAATTGCTACTGTTAAAGATGACGGGACTGTAGAATTTGAAGTTCCCGGCGATGTTGAACAGCGTGCTCTTGGAGTTGGTTCTGAAAGTATATACACTGAAGTCGACGAAGAGCCCCTCGATGCAGCAGAACTTCAGGATATTCCTCCACTGCAGATTGTAATTCTTATTGTCGGAACTCGTGGAGATGTTCAGCCGTTTGTTGCAATTGGAAAAAAGTTGCAGGTATTTAAGTCTATATTGCAATAGATGCAACACTATCTGCATATTACTAGTATTGCTGAGTATTGAGTACTGACTTATAGCAACTATTTATACTATTTGTTCTGATAAATGTTATTAATAACCACCCCCTCTTTGATATGATTTTGCCTTTTCTTTACCACCCCCTCTTTGATAATTCCTTTTTCTCCCTATAACCATTTATTAATAACCACAATCAAAACCCATCTTTCCTGGAAGTGAACTTAATTTTCGTGTTACAGCTAAGTTCATCTCTGGGTTTCTTATGAAGTTTTGATGAACATTATTGGATGCAGGATTATGGCCACCGTGTTAGATTGGCCACTCATTCCAATTTCAAGGAGTTTGTCTTGACATCTGGGTTGGAATTCTATCCCCTCGGTGGAGATCCAAAAATTCTTGCAGGATGTATGTTTCTATGCTTATATTTTTGTTTGAGTTCATTGTATGACTGTTGGGTTCAGTGTCGTGGTTTATCCTACCTGTTATTGTTGCATTTGTTGTTTATATTATTTTGTTTGGTTGATGTGTTGGATTTAAACTGTCCAGTGAATGACTGATGACTTTGCTTATAACTATTACCGACCTTATTATGATGTATGATCTTTTAGAATGTTTTACGGCTTTTCAGCAGAAACTTTGATGATTAACTAGGAATCCTTTCTATGCTGCAGAGAAATTCAGGATTTCAGCAAATTTGAAAAAAAAATCTATGTTATCAGTTTATTTAACCTCAAAAGTCTGAAAAAATAGTTTTAAATTTATTACAGATCAAATTTTTTCTTTTGGATTAACTACAAAACCACCTTCAGAAGGCAAAAAATAAACTGCATAATATGCTAAATAAGTAAAGTGTTTGGGAAGGGCTTAAAAGGTTTAATGAAATGTGTTAATGATGCAGCTACTTTTTTCTGTATCTCCAAGTTGTTTTGGTTTCTTTCTTTTTTTTGGAGTTCTGTGCTCTTCCATAGTTTATGGGGTGTGTAAATGAAGAACCCAGGTTTATAACCTAATAGATGAGGAGAATCTTATGTGATTGGTAGAATTTAGACTTTTTTGCTTTCTTGCTAAAATGTGGTCTAGAGTGCTTAACCACATGATTAGTTTTGTTTCGAAATGTGAGTCATTAATGCAATATTGACATCCCAAAGAAGCATTTTCGTATATTCATAGACACTCCATTTAATAGTTGATATCATCGTGTTGAAAAAAATCTGCTATATGATGACTTGCTCTTTGTTGTTGTCCCAGACTAACTATATTAGGAAATGTTCAGTCATTTAATTTTGTAAGAAGAGATTCAGACTTAATGCATATCTGCTTTTTCTGCAGTCATGGTTAAGAACAAAGGGTTCTTGCCTTCAGGGCCTTCGGAAATACCCATACAAAGAAATCAGATGAAGGAAATAATAAATTCGTTACTTCCAGCATGCAAAGAGCCTGATATCGAGTCTGGGATTCCTTTTAAAGCTGATGCAATTCTTGCTAATCCTCCTACATATGGTCAGCTTATGTGACTTGTCAATTTCCTTTTTTTCCCGTTGCTTAATTCAGGCATTTGTCCAATGTTATTATTGTTGCATATTTTGCATTTTTTCAACTTGTTGGTTTGGATGATGGGGAGTGGCTTCTAGAAGATTTATCAGAGAAACTCATAGATTACTGTCTAATTGAAATTTCTCAATAATAATTCAAATTGAAACCCGAAACCCGAACACTTACAGAGTCTGAACTATTCGTTGAAGTTTCGATTTCATAATACTTCAATTACTGTGCTTGATGCATGTACCATTACTCCGAACTTTTTCTGTTACAAGCATGCTGTGAACAGGAAATTGGGCAACAAATACATTTAAATAAATCCAGGAAATATCTCATGACTTGTGAGGTTCTTGGTATTAAGGAGTTAATTCCAAGAAAGATTAATCCATTTAAGTACGTAGTGTGTACTGATTTTGCCGTACCCCCTCCCCTCCCCTTCTGTATCGTGATTCTGAGTGCGATTTATTTCAAAATTACCGAGAAAGGCACCAGATTTCACATTATAGTGTATTTGGTACTGCCTCATTATTGAAATCCTAGGTAGCTTCTTATCTTAGATAAAGGTACACTTTTGACTACGGGAGATCTATTCTAATCTGCAAAGTCATTCTATTTAATTTTTATCTATCCACTTGTCTAATTAAATATTTCTGTTTACTAATCTGGAGACTATTGCAGGGCATACACATCTTGCCGAGGCACTGAAAATACCCGTTCATATATTTTTCACAATGCCATGGACGTAAGTCTTATCCGAACCATTTTTAGCCATGTAGAAGATTGTTTGCTCTTTTCTTGTTTAGGAAAGAAATAAATCTGGCTGATTTTAAAGAAATTTATTCATTTCGTTAGTCACCTTCCTTTCCGTCTAAATGATATTGTTTTCTGCCAGGCCAACCAGTGAATTTGCCCATCCATTGTCTCGTGTTAAACAACCAGCTGGATATAGAGTGAGTCCAAGAATCTGTTTGTCTTGTATTTCTTGCAATTTGGCGTTGTCTAAAAAGTTAATTATCATTGTATTTCTGCCACTTATTAAATCTTTCTTTTCTATAATGATTTTTGCAGTTGTCGTACCAGATTGTTGACTCCTTGATTTGGCTGGGAATAAGAGACATGATAAATGATCTTAGGAAGAAAAAACTGAAGCTACGGCCAGTCACATATTTGAGCGGTTCACAAGGTTCTGAATTGAATATTCCGCATGGATATATCTGGAGTCCTCACCTTGTTCCTAAACCAAAAGGTGTTCATTTTCTTAAAAAAAAAATCTTAATATTTGAACAATATTTCGTATTTACATTACGGTGCAAAATCAGTTGTCATCGTGTTAAACTTTACTTGCTGCTTTAAGTTTTTTCTCATTCGTGATGAACTATCAACATGTCTTTGATTAATAGTTGCTAATTGAGCTTTATAGCCGCATTGTCTTGCAGACTGGGGACCCAAGGTTGATGTCGTTGGCTTTTGCTTCCTTGATCTTGCAACAAATTACGAACCGCCCGAGCCACTTCTAAATTGGCTTAAAGCTGGTCCAAAGCCTATCTATATTGGATTCGGCAGTCTTGTAAGTATCCCAACTGTATATTTATTCGTGATTCCAGCTTCTTTGACTTAGCATCTATATATTCTTGAAAGTGGTTATTATCTCAAAGTTTAACTCTTTTCTCTCCACTTTCAGCCTGTTCAAGAGCCTCAGAAAATGACGCAAATAATTGTCGACGCTTTAGAAATAACTAAACAAAGGGGAATTATTAACAAAGGGTGGGGCGGCCTTGGTGACTGTAAGTTCACTTTTTTTTTCTGCAGTTATTTAAACTAATTACTCCATGATTTACGGTCGTATATTTCCTTCGAATTGGCTCGTTCAAGATCTAATGTTTTTTTCCTCAGTGGCAGAAGAGAAGGAATCTGTATATCTGCTGGATAACTGTCCTCATGACTGGCTTTTCTTGCAATGCTCTGCAGTGGTTAGTTGTTTTGTTTCAGTTCTTGCTTCTCGGTTTTTTGTCGTTTTCTTACGGAAGTATCATTCTCTTTCATTACATTGCATGTGGGATATTTAGGAATAAAATTTGGCTTCCTGTGATTTTTTTTTTGTCCAATTCATTTTCAGGTGCACCATGGTGGTGCAGGAACAACAGCTGCTGGTCTTAAAGCTGCGGTAATGAGTACATAAAAAGGGTTTTTAACGTATTTTCTTGATTGACGATGTGAACTTTGTTCTTGACTGGTTGGACTTTTTTCTTGGCAATTTCAGTGCCCAACAACTATCATACCATTCTTCGGCGACCAGCCTTTTTGGGGGGAAAGAGTCCACGCCAGAGGCGTAGGCCCCCCACCGATTCCAGTCGATGAATTTTCGCTTCAGAAGTTGGTCGATGCCATTAACTTCATGCTAGACCCAACGGTACTATGCTTCAAAATCGAACATCAATTTTGTCAAAATTCTCTCTACCGTTTTATTTTGATTATCATATGATTATCGATATAGTAAAAAAAAAAAGTTGGTAAAAGAGAAACTGGATTGATATTTCGTGCAGGTAAAAGAGCGAGCGGTGGAACTTGCAAAGGCCATGGAAGATGAAGACGGGGTTACAGGAGCTGTGAAGGCATTCCTTAAACATCTCCCTCGTAAAAAACTCGAGCCTGAACCATCAGAAGAATCCAGACCGTCGAAATGTTCCTGGATCCGCAGAATCTTCTGTTGTTGTTAAGAGGTGTGAATAAAAATCTCGATCGTCTCCCATAACATGTAATTCTTTGTCACTATACCCCTTTAGTTTTAATTAATTGAGTGTGTTTATAAAAACTACTTTTTCAGACCAATAATTTGTTAAATGTCGGAATGTTTTAGGCAAAATAAAACTACTACATTGAAATGAAATTGTAGGAATTGTGGAGAACAGAAACCGCAGGCATTTATTAACAAGTGTGGTTGTTGTAATGAAAAAGATTAAAGATACGATGGTCCCAGGCTGTATTTAAGGAATGGGGATATGGAGATAATTTGCAGAGGGGTTGGGTTGGGTTGGGTTGGGTTGACGGTGGAGACTCAGATATTTATTGTAAGGGTATTTGTGTCAGACATTTAATTAATATTACAATTCTTCCATAATGTATTTAATTTTCATTTTTTGTTCATCTGACTCTGCTCTATTTTAGGGTGAAATGAGGCAACTGTTCAATTGGACAAGAGAACATTAAAAGTGTTTGAGGTGGGAAACAACAAGATAAAGCAAAACAGTTGTTGCCAAAATGGGATACACCTAATCAAGAAAAATAGCTACAGGGTAAATTACTGTCAAAAAAAAAAACTCATCGTATTTGAGTAATTATAATTGTTTCTTTAACTATGAATTTTCTTCCTCGTATATCCTTGCGGTATCAAATTTAATGCAATTTGTCAAGATTATTATGTGGAATATTATTTGGTTTGTACCCGTTTGACCTTATTTGCGCTCCACATTTAAAACAAGATGATCATAAGATGTGTCTGGGCTTGTCAACATCATACTGTGGTACAACATAAATTATATTTTTGCACAAAACAAGTACAAACTAGAAAACGTTTCACAGAATGTAGATGATTCTATTGAATTTGACACTATAAGGGTGAACGTGTAAAACAAATTGTAATTGGGAGGGAATATTGTAATTACCCAAACTCAAGGTTTTTTTTTTTCTTTTCGTCGTAGTTTGACCTTACCTCAGCGTAATGTATCCGTAGTTATGTGTGTGTATTAAATGAGAGAAAAAACAAAAACAACTAGTAAAATGGTGATTAATGGTGCAGGATTGTTGCTACTAGTAGAAGAAAACTGGATTCCATTTCCCAATCTATATATTACACTGTACACACACACATTTATAACTGTTGGAGTTGTAACCAATCACTGTCCCTTTGCCTCACTGTACACAAACAAGTGTCCCAACATTACAACATTTATCTCTCTCTCTCTTATCTCTTCTTTTCACAAGCTATCTGCACCAGAGCCCATACATTACTGATTATTACTACACTCTTTTCTATAAAAAAAAAAAAAAAGATGAATGCCAATTATCTTCAAACTCTGTTGTAAGGCCTTTGCTTTGTACTTTCTTTCTCTTGCAACTACATATAAACACATAAAAAACACATATATATATATAGTTGCCAATAGTAGTACTGTTCATCAACAAGATATCTTGAGTAGTAGTAGTCTTGAGTGTTGTGATTGCATGTGCTTTTGTCACTACTAATACAGGAAAAAATAAATAATGGATAAAAAATCAGCAAATAATAATAAAAATGGAGATGAAGAAGAAGGAGAAGCAAGTAGAAAGAAAAGCTTCCCTTGTCTGTACTGTTCTAGAAAGTTCCACAGTTCTCAAGCTTTAGGTGGCCACCAGAACGCTCACAAGAAAGAGAGAACCGCCGCCCGGAGGAATAAGAGGGCCTGTGATCAGTACGCCGCCGCACTCAACGGTTTTTCTCCGCCGATGATGTTCTCCTCCAACAACTATCACCACCCCATCGGCATTTTCAACCCTTCTTCTGCTGCTGCTGCTTTTATCACCGCCCATGGCGCCAGTCTCTGCCAGTTCCAGAGCCACCAGATGATGGGCGGCGGCGGTGGTCCGCGGTTTGAGAATGCTGGGTTTTACCGAAGCAAGTTTTTGAGCGGGGTGCGCCGCGATGATGAGGTGGATCTCCGGAGCTTCGCGAATTGGGAAAGGAGCATCAGATACGGCGGCGGTGGTTTAGGGGAAGAACGCCGGCAGGAGGGTTTTCCGGTGGCGGCGGATAACGGTACTGAAGGCGGGAATCATGGGGTTGAGGTTAAGAATATTAATAAGGATAAGAAGCTTGATTTGTCGCTTCATTTGTAGAGAAGATGGCCATGGCGGCCGGAGTTTACTTGCTGTGTTTTTTTAATTTTAATTTTTTTCTAAACGACGACGTATGGTAATTAGTAGTGGCAATTTTGGATTTACTTGCATTGCATGTAATGTAATACTAATTTGAATAAATTGAGGGACTTTTACTTATGCAAATTGCCGTACAAATCTCAATATTTTGCTATAGCCCCTGGCAAATACAACATTTGAAATGAGCATGGTTTTAAACAAGCTGAGTCTAGTTGTCTTGGTGAGCTCGAGCCGAATTTTAAAGTTCGAGCCCAAACTCGTTTGATATATTTTTTTTCCTATTTTATTTATATATTATAATTTTTAATTATTAAATATATTTAAATTATAATTTTTTGTCAGTCATTTTTTTATGTGTACTTTTGATATTATTATTATAATATCTGAAATGATTTACGCGACAACAACATTACGAATGTCGTTCACTATAGTCTTCTCTTTCTCTCTCTAAAATTCCCATTTCCACCCAAACCCCAAAATCCCCCAAAAGCCCCAAAATTCACAAAAACCCTCAACCTTGCTCACAAATCCTTTCAAGTCAGAAAATCTTGTCAATTCGAAAGGTAATTAATCATCTAAAGTAGTTATATATATCGAATTTGTGGTTAATCGTGTGAAAATCCCCAGAAAATTGCGATTTGGAGTATTTTTAGTGTTGGGTTTTCAAATTTTCCACGCCCAAAATGGGCGTGTGAAAGCAGTTTCCATGCCTAAACCAGGCGTGGAAACTGCTTTCACACGCCCATTTTTGGCATGGAAAATTAGTTCGGGCGTTCGGTCCAGAAGCCGGTCAGGGGTCTGCACGCCTGGACCGGTCGTCCGGTTCAAATTTCTTTTTTTGCCCAGTATAAACAAAATGAATGATTATACTTATATTATTATACTTTATTTAAATTAATAATTTATAAAATAAAAGCTAGGCTCGCGAGCAGGTTCGTGAGCTCTCGAACAAATAAGAAAGTCTTGCAAGCTCATGAACAACTAAGAAAAAACTCAAACAACTCGAATTCGAGACTTTGTCAAGTCGGCTCAACTCATTTACCCTACATGTAACATATCCCAGTTGTTTATTATGATTAAATTGAGATTTAATTTACAAGATTCCGCTGTAGCACTTGGCAAATACAACAACGATTGTAAAATGTATCCGGGTTCAAATCCCGGCAGCGGATATTAATTTTTTTATTTACTGTACTGTGTTTTTTTAATTTTATTTTTTTTTTTTCTAAACGACGACGTATGGTAATTACTAGTGGCAATTTTGGAATTACGTGCATTGCATGTAAAGTAATTTGAATAAATTGTTATACTATTTAATTGAGGTATTAATAACAAAATTCCGCTGTAGCACTTGGCAAATACAACAATGATGGTATATTGTATCCGGGTTCAAATCCCGGCGGCGGATATTAGTTTTCTTTTTTCCTTCAGTCAACGTTTTATTTTGCAGTCAATTTGGGCCTTTCGTTTCGGCCCATTTACTTGAAATGAGGCCCATTTTAAGAATTTTGCATGGGCTCTTTTGTTTGGTCTGGCATGCAAATTAGACGGATTAAATTTTATAATTAGAAAATTCAATTTTTTTTTACTAAAGTAATAATTAATGCCAATTTTATTTGAGAAAAAAATTAAAAAGAGGAAAATAAAAAGTAAGAATATTAAAAATAGGAATAAAACGGTTCCCTAATCAATTTTTTTTTTCTTTTTAATTGGAATGGGCGGAAATCATAAAATATATTTATTCTGTACGAAAATATTGTTGTTTGAAAAGTTCATAATATTAGAAAATATTTTTCAATACTCTCTTGTGTTATTTCTATAAAAAATATTTTATTCAAATATAAAATATTTATTTAATGAGTTTAAAGTCGATTCGAAGTTAAACTGAACTTTAAGGAAGCTCTATGTAATGTTTTAAAATAAGATCGGTGTATATGTAATTAGGCCTAAATTAGGGGAAGGACAATGTAATTTACTAAATATTAAATTAATGGTAAAAACAAAATTTAAAAAACGCAACACGCAAAAAGTAAAATATGTTATGTCTTAGTTAATATTTATGTAGCACGGAAACTTCAACTTCAACTTCTTAAGTATCCTCATTTCGGACACGTTTCGTATCCGACAATTTAATGACAAGTCAGATACCTTATGGGTTATTTTGCAATTTCTGAGAAATTAGAAACATGTTTGAATAGCAAATTTCCAAATAGTTTGTTGCTTCCGAAATTATTTGCATGATTTAATGATCAATTGCAAATCGATAGTTGATAATAATATTTATGTGAATATTTATATATAAAAATAATTTATATATAAATAAAACTTATACATATATGTTTATACAACATCTTTATAAATATACTCCTATACTTTTAATGTTTACACGTTTCTCCTAAGTTTCTATATCCCCATTTTTTGGACATTGTCGTTTCCTCATGTCCGATTCCCTGTTTTTCTGTATCACTATTTCCGTATTCGTGCTAGATAGATTAGTATTAAACCTGAAGGGAGGTATGCGTAATTTTTCTGATCAAAAGGGGTCTAACTGTCATAACACTTCATAGCAAGGGAGATAAGTTTATGAGTTTAAAGAGAACTATAATATTTGCTTTCATGCAACTTTTGTAATAGAGGGGGAAACGAATAATCATAGTACTCCGTTTTATATAAATTGTTATTTTAGAGTTCTCATTACGGGTGTAAACGAGTCGAGCTCGAGTCAAACTTGGCTGTTTTGGCGATCTCAAGCTTGAGCCATTTTTTTTTTTTTTTTTTATTAACATTATTAGAAATCTATTATTATAAATAATAATAAATAAATAATCGAAATAGAAAAAATGACCTGTAATTTATTTTTTTAATTATTTATATGAAATATTATTTATTTTACGTTAATTATATTTAAAATAAAAAAACTCCCGAGCTCACGAACAACTAAAAATAAGCTCGGGCACGACTTGTCAGAAAGCTCGAACTCGAAAAATTCAAGTTTGAATTCCCGCTTTTGTCAAGCCGGCTCTGCTCATTTACACCTCCAGTTCTCATACTATCTTTTACTTTAAAAATACCAAATTGCATTAATTGTTTTTTTTTTCCCACACTTATTTGCCCCTCACAGGCGAGGATCATAATTAATAAACATATTTGGAAGGGCAATTTAGTCATATTTCACATATGTTATCTAAAAATCAATACAAATTTATTAATTTTCTTAATACATATTTCTAAAATAATAAAATAAATGTGAAATGGTGGTGGAGGTGGCATAGATTTGGGTAAGTTTTAATTAATGAAGTTAGATATTTGGTTGTGAAAAGAATAGGAGGCTGCCCATGTGATAATTATTGACTAGAAGATGGATAGATTGCAGATTCCCCATCACATGTCTTTTGCCCCAATTATCATTCACATAATTAATTAATTAATTAATTAAATACTCCCACTTTCAATAGCAATGAAATTACAATATATAAATAACAATTAGCTGGGAATATACATATATATTTTTATATATGTATGTAAGTAAGTATTCCAAGAAAATAGGTCTAATTATTTATCATTTTTCTTGTATAGTTCAATAATTTTGCTGCACAGAAAGGGATGGGACACATTATATATATAGATATATTGGATGTTCATTATTGGCTCTTATTTTATATTTTACATAAATGGTTATATAAGGATGATATTGTAATATTTTGTAAAGGGTTAAATTTCAGTTGTAACCCTGTACTAAATAGAAACTTTCACTTACCTCCTCTCTAGTATTAAAATCATCAGTTGCATACCCCTTTATATTACATGTTGTACGTTATTCTTTGTTTTTTTAAGATAAGTCTCCTTTTCTTATTATTTTACAAACTTAATTTTTTTTCAATTTTATAATATAAAAATATTATAGTACCTAAAATTATTACGACCTTTTTTTTTAAGTTGTTATTTTCTTCTACCTCTAGGCTCTAACATAATTTGGAACGTACAAAATACGGAAAGAAAAACATTCACCACGAATAATTGAAAAAAATAATTATTTTCTTACTAAAAAATTAACTTTTCTCACTAAATTATTCGATTGCCGGATCTGTTATTGTAATTAGTGAAAATATCTGGTGGAAATCTTTAGAAGAAAATATAATTTTCAAATAACTTGATAACTAAATAACTGAAAGATTTTTTTTCGTTCTTTTTGTTTTATGTAAAATAACTTTTTTTTTTCTTTTAATATGTTCTTGAAATGTATTTTTATTTTTATACTTTGTAGTTTCAAAATGATTGATCAATATAAAGAAATTGATTTGACATTTGGCTTCCTAAAAATACCATTTAAAATATTAAATTATATTCATGAGATTTAAATATTCATCCGAGCTGCATTATGCATGATTTATTGTGTTTTCGGGTGCAGAGTGCCAAAAAACTATATTTCAAGGGCGCAAAGTGGGATTATGCCCAAACATGATTCATACTCCATAGTCAAAATTAAATAGGGCGAAACTCGATAATGGGATTAAAAGGATTTAAACAAGTGTTTGTCTTGAAACTAAAGTTAAAACAACATAAAGCAACGCCTAATTAAACATACCTATTCAATTATTAATGATAGGCGTAATTAGACGCTATGTTTGCGGACAACTGAATTATAATAACAAATTAGTCGTAGGAAGATTTTGGAATTACAACGGCTGTGTTTGGTAAGCTTTTGGGCTTCCATTTCCATTTTATTTTGGGGAAAGATGTTTTGGGAGAAGAATTTGGAAATTAAATAAAGTTTGTTTGTGTTTTGGGAGGAGACAATTTGTACTGTAGCAAGTCAAATCATGTCTGAAAGGTGTTGGAAAAGGTATTTTGGAAGAAGAATTTAAAAGATAAAGTGATTTAATTTTGTATTTTAGTGAAAACAATTTTCACTATAGCGGTCAAATCATGTTTGTTAGAGAGAGAAATATTTGAATTTGTTTTGGGGAAAGTTTTTGAAAATGGTGTAGAAAGATAATTTTCATTTTGGAGAAAGTGTGGAAAGAATTTGAAAACGGTAACAAACATAGCCAACATGTTTCGATATTTATTAAGCTTTTGTAGTTCTTTCTACTCATTCCTAGAATGAAATTAAAGTTTTATTAAACTTAACTTAAAAAAAAATTCCTAAATAATATTTAAAGTATAATCTCTCGTTCAAACATGATTAGAAATTGAAAATATAATTCCAATCATGTTCCAAAAGTAATAGGAATATTCAGAATTTGTTATTTAGGAAATTGTGATGAAAAAATTTGTTGCCAAAACCGATTCTTTTTTTCTTTTATCCGAATTAACGGGAATCGGAATTTCCAAACTTTTAGTCACCTATAATATGAGTACATGGTAATATTGATTTAATAAGTGTAGTTTTTGGAAATAAGCTGGTATTTTCAAAAAATTAAATATCTGATTGAAAAGAAAGGAATCTCACATGTATTACATCTATATTACAAAATAAAAATAAAAATATCAAAACTTTTGAAATCGAAATAAAAAATGTTGTTCCAAAATTGGAACTACTAAGGTGGGAATCGACAGATGTTAATTTCATTCCAATTTTCATCACATTATATTGCGCATGTTTGAGATAAAAAAAAAGAAATGAAATAAAAAATAAAAATAAAGAAAAAGTCAAATTCAGGTTTTGACTTTGGAGAATATGTTTCGAGCTGCAAAGATAGAAAAGTTGGCCTAGATTTGTTCTCCTCCTTAATGAGCGGAGCTTCTAGATTTGCCTAATCTAAAAAAAGTTTGTGTAATTTTAAAGGTTGACAATCATATTCACTTCATATTTTAAAATTGTAACAAAAATAAATATATGAAAATTCATATAAATTATTATGATGAGAAAAAAATCAAATTATTATTTGAAACATTTCTATAAAATTCATATTATTTACTACAAAAAGGACGCTGTAGCACTTGATTCATGTTGTATCATTCACCGTGGATATATTTAATAGGAATGTTAACGTAAGTGACTGCATGCGAGTAGATGATCTAAGTAGAATCGCCACCACGTGAAGAGTTCAAAAAGCCTGAGTCTAGTACCAATATGGGTACGCAAACGTAAACTAAACCGATGATTGATTCGATGGAAGTCCTTCTGATACTCAAGTCAGTAGCTATCTAGGCAAACATGAGGGTAGACCACCTGAATTCTAGAGAGCTCGTATGAAATACGAATAGTAAAAACGTAAATTTTAAAGTGAGTCCTATGAGTTATTTATAGTGTGATTAGTAGAGTCCTTATTACAATAGAATTTTAAATAGAATTAGTAAACTATAATTGCTTATAATATCTTTAGTAATGAAACTTGATCATTAATTAATGATCTTGTAAGTGGATGACATATCGAACATTTTAGATGGTCTAAATATTCATTGGCTTATCGGTCCACGTATTAGGTATATTAATATCATGATCCTACTATTGTATTTAGGGCTGGGACTGGGTTGGTTTTTATCCACCAACCGACTCATTACCGACCATATTTTTAGGCGGATAATCAATTTTTAACCGACCCATTGAACCGGGTCGAAAATTTCAACCAACCCATCTATAATGGGTCGGTTGGTGGTTTCTAATATTATCAAAAGTTGGTTGACCGATAATTATCGGTTATCCAACTATACTATTAAAATTTTATTAAAAATATAAAATAAATGCCGTGTTTTCTTAAGTGGTTATTGAAATTATCAAAATAATTAGTATTCTAAATTTTAAAACAATCAACAAAGGAAAAAAAATTGTGCATGTTTGAAATTACTTTGAATTTCTTAATTATATTTTCTTTAAATTGTTATTAATTATTTTGAACTGATAAATGATGATCGCACCGTGGCATTACGCAAAATTTGGATATTTTTACTCCAAAATTTGATTTTTTTTTTTAAATGAACTAGGTGGCGGGTATAAACCATCAACCGACCCATTCCGAAACTAAATATTCGGTTGCCAACCATCAACCGACCCACAAAGGTTGGGTCGGCAACGGTTTTCAAATTTGAGCAAAAATAGTTTGACGGATGGGTCGGTTTTTAGGCTGGTAATCGACCGACCCAACCCAGTCCCAGCCCTAATTGTATTTATCTATTTTCGTTGAACTTGAATTTACTAAAAAATTGAAAAGGAAAAAAAAAAAAAAGAAAAAAAAAGGAAACTATATAATAATCGAAATATCCGAAGATGACGTGGCGGCGGTTGGTAAAATTAGTTCAGTCAAAATAGTTGACAGTTTTCTTGTGCCACGGTCAGCAAAGGGTCCGGCACGTGAGCCACCGACAAACTAGAGTCAGTTGGCGGTAGCATAGGCGTGAGAGAGAGAAACCTCTATTATGTTATAATTACGGGTGAAAATTAAAACCATTTTTTTCAATTTGGGTGGTTTTTTTTTTATTTATTTATTATTATTATCTGAATATTATAATGATTTTGGGGAGTAATATTTTACATCCCGAGCTTTGAAGGTACTGATTTATTTGGGTCGGCATTAATATATATTTGATTCTGATTTTAATTTGGAAAAAACTTCTGAATATTCTAACTTTATTTTTCAAAATTTACATTTATAATAACAATATTATTATGAGTGATTAAAATATGAACATTTAGAATTCCGCCAATTCCGTAACTTCTGATTTTGGCAAAAAAAAATAAAAAAATTCATTCTGACTAGTCGAATGGAAAGGAAATTATTGTAATCGTTTTTTGGGTTATCGTGCACATATTAAGAAAATCAATAAATATGCCGAGAATATTGAAAAAAAAAAAAACATAGAAAATCACTAAATATCCTTATCACAAGTTGCTTGTCAACTAATTATCTATCAATTAATTAAAAATTAAAGAGTAATAGATGACAAAATTTTGAAAAAATCATCAATTAATGTTTCATTGGCATTCTAAAGTAACAAATCTCCGTTCCAAAATAAGTATCGTGCAACACAGATAAAAAAACCCAGTGTTCTAAAAATCGGCCGAGGCGCGATATCGGTCGCGAGCGGAGGCGGTCAAACCTTACGATTAG